AATCGATCCCAGGACAGGATCATGACCTGAGCCGAAGGCAGACGCTTAACGACTGAGCCACCCAGGCGCCCCCTGACTTCCTTTTTAAAAGTGTGAATTATATGGGTATGTAAATTATATTTCAACTGAAAAAGAATGGATGGTTTCAGCTTTTTCCTACATCAATACTACACGTAGGGTGACAATGAAATATACTTTTAATGTGTTGGAGGAACAGAGGACCTAGATTTTATATTTAGCTAAAATATTTAAATATGAGGCCCTGATAAAAATATTCCTAGGCAAGCAAGATTTTAGAAGGCAATATAAAGGCTTGCACTGAAAATAACTGGGATGAAATACTTTTTTGGGGGGTAGATATTATTTATTTGTTCGTTTGACAGAGAGAGAGAACATAAGCAGGGGGAGAGGGAGAGGGAGAAGCAGCAGGTTCCTCTGAGCAGGGAGCCCAATGTGGGGCTCGATCCCAGGACCCTGGGATCATGACCTGAGCCGAAGGCAGACGCTTAACCAACAAATGCTTAACTCACTGAGCCACCCAGCAGCCCAGGATGAAATACTTTTAATACAGACACTAAAATAAAATAGGAAGGATTAAAAGAGACAGAAAAGTATGATACACTTTAAAAAAGATTTTATTTATTTATTTGAGACAGAGAGAGAGCAGAGGGAGCAGCAGAGGCAGAGGGAGAACCAGACTCCCTGCTGAGCAGGGAGCCCGATTCAAGAGGCACCTGGGTGGCTCAGTCGTTAAGCATCTGCCTTCGGCTCAGGACATGAGTCCAGGGTCCTGGGATTGAGCCCTGCATTGGGCTCCCTGCTTAGAGGGGAGTCTGATTGTCCCTCTCCTTCTCCCTCTGCTCATGCGGTCTCTCTTTTTCTCAAATAAATAAATAAATAAAATCTTTAAAAAAAAAAAATAAAGATTCATGGGGTGCCTGGGTGGCTCAGTGGGTTAATCCTCTGCCTTTGGCTCGGGTCATGATCTCAGGGTCCTGGGATTGAGCCCCACATCGGGCTCTCTGCTCAGTGAGGAGACTGCTTCCTCCTCTCTGTCTCTGCCTGCTTCTCTGCATACTTGTGATCTCTATCTGTCAAATAAATAAATAAAATCTTAAAAAAAAAAAAAAAGATTCAATTCCCAGGTTGCCTGGCTAGCTCAGTAGGGGGAGCATAGGACTCTTGATTTCAGTGGTAGTGACTGAGATATTACTTAAAATCTTAAAAAAAAAAAATTTTCAATTCCCAATGAACATACAGAAATAAAAAATATGTATATCGTCAATATATATGAAGTAAAGCAAAAATTGATAGTGTTACAAGGAAAAACTGATCAGTTTCTCATCACTGTGAGATCTCTATGCACAGCTCTCACTTATTAATAGGTTATGTAGAAAAAATCCCCAGCAATAATATAGAAGATTCAAACAATGCAATTAACAAGCTTGACCTAAGAGACATTTTACAGAGTTCTGCATTTAGGGAATATACATTTTTCTTAAGAACATGTAGAATAATCAAGTAACAAATCACCTCAACACATTTCACAGAATAAGTAGCGTGTAAGACATGACCTTTGACCTCAGTGTCAGAAGTTAACAATAAAAAAATCTAAAAAACCTAGAAGTGAATAATGCAGTGGTCCTTATACTTTTTTTTAAGTAGGCTCTATTCCCAGCTTGAAGCCCAATTCGGGGCTTGAACTCATGACCCTGAGATCAAGACCTGAGCTGAGATCAAGAGTGGGACACTTAGCTGATCGAGTCACCCACGTGCCCCGGTCCTCACAGTTTTGACCTTAGGATCCCCTTAAAATTGAGGGATCCAACCTACACAATCAACAAAGGACTAATATCAAGAATATCAAGAATAGGGGCACCTGGGTGGCTCAGTGGGTTAAAGCCTCTGCCTTTGGCTCAGGTCGTGATCCCAGGGTCCTGGGATAGAGCCCGGCATCGGATGCTCTGCTCAGCGGGGAGCCTGTTTCCTCCTCTCTCTCTCTGCCTGCCTCTCTGCCTACTTCCTCCTCTGCCTCTCTGCCTATCTCTGTCAAATAAAATAAATAAAATCTTTAAAAAAAAAGAATATCAAGAATATGTGTGTGTGTGTGCACGCACGCGTTCCTCTGTATACACACACACACACACATAAACAAATGCACATACGGAGGAACACAAAACTCCCACAAATAAATAAGAAAAGCTCTAGTAACTCAATCAAAAAATGGGCAAAAGCAAAAACAGGCATTTCACAGAAGAGGAAACATATGGCCAATATACATATGAAGATATCCAAAATAGATAACAGAACTTATAAAACTCAACACCCCAAAAACAAATGATCCAATTTAAAAAGGGGCAGAAGCCATTTCTCTAGGGAAGACATCCAGATGGCCAGCAGACACATGCACAGATGCTCAACATCACTCATCATCAGAGAAAGGCAAATCAACACTACAGCAGGTGTCCCCTCCCACCTGTCGGAATGGCTAAAATCAACCCAAGAAAGAGGTGTTGACGGGGATGCAGAGAAGAAGGAACCCTCATGCACTGCTGGTGGGAGTGCAAAAAACAGTATGGAGGTTCCTCAAAGTCTTGAAAATAGAGCTACCCTATGACCCAGCAATCGCACTATGGGGCAGTTACCAGAAGAACACCAGAACCCTAACTGAAAGGGATACAGGCGCCTGTATGTCTATAGCAGGATTATTTCTAACAGCCAAGATAGGGAAGCAGCCCAAGTGTCCACTGACTGATGAAAGGATAAAGAAGAGGTGGTGTATATATATGACATGGAATATTATTTATCTATTAAAAAAGAACAAAATCTTGCCATGTGCAACGACATGGATGAAACCAGACAGTATGAGGCTAAGCGAAATAAGCCCAAGAAAGACAAAATATCGTATGATTTCACTCATGTGGAATTTAAGAAACAAAAAAAAAAAAAAAAAAAAGAGAAAGACAAGTCAAGAAACAGACTCTTAACTACAGAGCACAGACTGCTGGTTATCAGAGGGGAGAGGGTGGGGAATGGCCAAAATCAGTGAAGGGGACGGAGGCGGGCGCTTGTGAAGAGCTCCGGGTGACGTATGAAGTGTTGAATCCCTACACTGTACATCTGAAACTAACAGCACACTGTGTGTTAACTGGAATTACATTAAAATAAGAGAAAAAAAAAAGCCACCCAGAGAGATGTTTCACATAATCTGAAGCCAGGGAACGCCATGTCAAGACCACTCTCCGATTTGAGGGGGTACTACTCTACACCCCACTAGCCCAGTGAACAGTAAAAGGTGTTTGAGAGGAAGCAGACCCAGAGAATCTCTATCCGCCACTGGTAGTTAACTTGTGAGCTACTTTGGAAGACAGACGTCACCATCTCTTAAAAACAGGGAGTGAACACAGACCATGATCCATCAAGTCCACTTGAAGGTCTATCCTGAAGAAAAACTCTTGCGCGTGCACAACAGAAACTTATAAAAATAGTTTAGAGCAGCGAAAACCCCGGGAACTATCCCAAAGCGCATCAGCAGGAAGGGACACGTAAGTCACAGCACGTTCACACAGTGCAGTATCAGACAAGCCATGTGGACTCAGTAATATGTTAGGTGGAAAAACAAAGCCCCTAAGAGAACACACAGTATGACACACTTTTTATAGGGGTCAAAACTAACTCTAAGGTACAATGAACCCAGAGAAGATTATCGGGCTGGATGGGAGGGCGGGGGTGGGGGGGAGCAGCCATATAGGTAGATGCAGGTTACAGTCCAGGGCCCAACTTTTACTTGAAACGATGGCTTCTTGGATGCTTGTGAGGTTAATCAAAGTAACCAGTTAACCGGTTCACAGAGCGAGGACGGTGCAGGGACAGAGGTTTCTGTAATCTAACTATGTGAACTTCAGGTCAAGACAAAGAAACAAAACAAGCGGGCTCACGCTCCACTGGTCGCTGTTTCACCAGCACAACACGCGCCCTCCTGCCCCCAGGGCTGCTCCTCCCACACCTCCTCTCTCCTTCCCACCCCACCCCCAATCCCTCCTGGCATCCCGTGCTCTCTGACAGCAGACATCACACCCCTTCCAACGAGCCCTTCTCCACGCCTCCCTGATCCAGGTCTGTCTTCCCCCAACAGGGAGCTTGTGCTGGGCAGAGGCTCTGTCTGCGTGTCCCCTGCGCGTCCAGTGAGGATTTGCTGAACTGTCAACCCTCACACTTCACGACCTTCTCTGCCAACTCCTGACCACCTTGCCTAATCCCGACACGTTTCCGTCTCCAATTCAAACTGGCTCTTTTTGTGGGAAGTCACAGTGAGTACTTCTTCCCCTAAAACACCCTCCCTTCCTATTTCTTCCCTGTGGCCGGTGCCCAGATCTGGGCCTCCTCCTCTTTTACCTGCATCTCTGGTTCTCTCTCCACACTAATCGCCTGAGATCCTTCTAACCCCAGTGAAAACCCTTCCATGGCTCCTCACTGCCCTCGAGACCAGTCAGTGACCACCATGCTGCTCTCACCCACTGCGTGTTCTCTCAGCCGGCAAACAGGCTTCTCCTCCAACACAAGGACCCCTTTCACTTAGGGAAAGCTCTCCAGCCTACCCCAAGGCCAGGGGGCCATGTCCTCCTTGAAGCTCCCACTGGAATGTCAACTCTGCTCCCAGACCATCCGCCCCTGAAGAGGGGGCGCTCCGCACACATCTGCCGTCGGCTGAGGCACAAGGCCTGGCGCGGAGCGGGTCGCCCCTGCTGGGACGGAGGGACAGCCTCTTGTATTCTTTCTGTATACTTTACAAGGCACGATCTCTTGTGACAGCTTTTGGATTGAGGCTAGTTTTTAAGGCCGTATGTTTTTTCCTCTGACCTGTGGTAACCCCCAAGGACAGCATTTTAGCAGTCTCCGCTTGGGGCACCGTGCTAGGCCGGGGGGCCTTTGCTCACTGACAAGCAGGGTGGGGCCTAGCAGAACCTACGGAGCTCCTTTGCCCTAGAGCCTTTACTCACCGTGTTGAAATACTCGACGCCGGTGGCTTCAAAGGCCCTTGCCACAGCTTGGGTTGTGGCCACACAAGCTACCGGGTGACCATTGCCAATCGACTTGCCCATGGTGACAATGTCGGGGACAAAGTCTTCTCCCTGCAGCTGGAAGGCCCAGAAGTGCTTGCCTACTCGGCCAAAGCCCACTTGGATCTCGTCTGCGACAAAGAGCCCTCCGGCCCTGTGGATGTGCCTGTGGCAGAGGACAGATGGCTGACGGGGTCTTCGGTAAGAGGGATCAGACCGGGAGCTTTCGGGGTCTTGGACTCTGAACCCTGGCTCTGACAGCAGTGAGGTGGGGGCATTAGGCAGGTGGCAGGCTTTCCTGGGGCCACCATTTCTTCTCAAAATTCTGGCCAAAAGGCCAGGCTGAGGCTGGAATTTGGAACAAAGGTCGGGAAGCCCCAGGACAGCCCTGCCCTCCCTGAGGCACCCCCGCCCAGCTACTCACTCTGCCACTTCGGGGAAGTAGCCGGCCGGGGGAATGATCTGCCCTGCAACACTGGGCAGAGACTCCACAAAAAAGGCTGCGATCTGCGGAGGAGACAGAATGCTGGGGACACCGCTGGGGAGGCATTGGGTGGTATGCTAGACGCATCCTGCCGGTGCTGGCTCAGCGCTGGCTCCTAGCAGGACGAACGAGTCCCCAGCATCGCTGTGTGGCCCCTTTGGGCTCCAGATCACAGCTGGTCTGTGACCAGGTTTTCTTTTGGGCTGCAAACCAACTCTTACCGCATGGAATTCTCCAGACTCCTTATACTTAGCACGTCCCAGATGAAGGCACTGATTTCTCCCTCATCAGCCTGTTCCTTCTCTGCTCCTACCTGGGGCCTCCCATCACCCCACTGAGAGAAACGCGGCCCCCCTCCGTGATCCATCGGTCAGCATGGCCTCTGCCTCTCTACCGTCTGTGCACCCCCTGCCTCCCCTCCACCTGGACACACCTGCCTCGACCTCCTGCAGATGTCACCTAACAGGATGCCTCCTGCAGTCAGTCCGTCATCCAGCGGCCACCAGGACGATCCACAGCTCAGTCACTGAACTCATCACTGTCCTGTTTAAACCCCTTCAGTGACCCCATTTCTCCCAGCCATGACCTCTAAGCGGTGTCAGGTCTCGGACCTGTTGCAGAGACTATGGCCCAGGGGAAGGGCTGATGGGGTAGGAACCAGCCACCCCTGCTGGCCCAGAGCCATCACTTTTCTGGTTTTCTGTAAGCGGAGGCCAAGCATCTGAAACACACACGCCAAGCTCCCCTGATCTGGTCCTGCCCATCATTTTGGCTTCATTGCCTGCTTGTCTTGGCCAAACATCCTGCGTTCAGCTGTCACCGCATCAGCGAGGCCTTCCAGAAAGCCCTGACACCACTCGCTGACTCCCTGCCACTGCTGTGGCCCCGGCCACGGCTCCCCCGGAGCACACACCCCTCCAGTCTCTGCCCCTGCACTCCCTGTCCACCACAACACCCTGCGTGTGGCCTCCTCCCGGCGGTGCGCCGGCTCCACTCACGGGCATGCCCTCCACCCTCGTCTTGTCACTCTCCCTCTGAACACCCTTCAGACCTTCCTGGTGGCCTCCAGCCCCTCGACATAGCCCTTGTGGTCCCTTGCCACAGGGGTCCTGCCTGCCTCTCCGGGCCTGTCTCCTGCCAGCTCAGCCGGGCCCCACACCAGTGAGGGTCCACCCCTGCAGGCCACCCCCCTGCTCAGCATGCCTTTCCTCTCCTCCCTGCACCCCTGGCCACTGAGTGCCACCCCCCACTCACTGCAATCAGGCAGCACCTCCGCCAAGGACCCTCTTCACGCCCACACCAGTCCAGCCCTGGCCCCTGGCCCCTGGCCCCGTCACATCCAGTACAGGTCTTTAGCTAAACTCTCTGCAGAACACCTAAACCTTCTAGATTCCTCAAAGGTGGGCTCTGGTTCCAGGATCCTCAGGGCCCCGGTGCTTGCTGTTCCACTCCTGGGGACTGTGCACGTGTGTTACCTTCCTGCCCTTCTCCTGCACGCTGCTCACCACGCGCTGCACCTCGCTGGCGTACGCCCCTGCTGGATCGGGGTGGTCCTCCCGGTAAAGACCCCGGTAGGTGTCTGGGAGAGGTGCCTGTGGGGAGTGACAGCGTCGTGTCACCCAGGCTCGGGGGGAGCACCGACCTGGTGCCCGCTTGGGCAGTGCATACCACATGGACCCACTCCTTCTGGCCATCCAGGTCCCGGAACTTGTACGGGCTGATGTCGATCAGGGAGCTCAGGTGACCGTGATAAGCGCTGAGGAGGAGAAGGGGGAGTGGCTCAGGCCCGGGTGGCCCATATTCCGTGGCCCGGCCCCAACAACAGTCTCCCCACCTCAGGAGCCTCAGGGCAGACCAACGTGACACAGCCCCCCAAGTCCTAGAGCTGGGAACCAGCACAGGCCCGGGAGCCCGGGAGCCAGACCTCCCGCGAGGCCGCTTACTAGCTAGGTAATGGTGACGGATCATTTGGCCTCTGTGGCTTCAGTGCTCTCCTCTGTGAAGTTGGGGGCGGGGGGGTGGGGGTTTTCTCCTACAGAACTATAATGAAGCCTGAGTGGGGTAATGTTCCAGCCCTGGGCCTGGGCCTCGCGCACAGCAGACACTCAGTGCCGTCAGGACAGTTTTAATACCTAAACTGTGGGGCCAAGTCTCACTTCCTTACAAAGCATCCTCTACTCCCAGAAGAGAGGCCCTGGGGGGGTGGGGAAGAGCCCCCTGGTGCGTGTAGGGATGTCTCTATGGCCAGGTCCTCATGCTTCCCTCCACGAGCCCAGGCCCCTCATCCCCTACCCGAGGCACTTAAGGCTAGAGCCTCGCTCACCCCCAGTTAAGTGGTGAGCCCAGGCTTCTGGAAAGGGCACTTACTGGTCTAACACCACCACGTCCCAGTGTCCCGTGTACTGGCGGGCCAGCCTCAGGGCCAGGTCATTGGCTTCTGACCTATGACAAAAAAGGAGGGCACTGCTCAGACAGCTGCCCACAGGTTTCCTCCTGGATACGTGCTTCCTACAGAGAAACCCGGAGGGAATGAGGAGCCCTTCCAGCAACAAGAAGATTCTCAGGACACCATGTGTGAGTCGTTCGACTTCATTCATTCAAAGAAAATTTTATCAAATGCCTTCTGTGTGCAATGAGCTGGGGGTGGGGAGCAAGCAGTAAGTCAAACAGGTCCTGGCCCTCCTGGAACTTACATTCTACGGTGGGTCTTGAAAGCCAAGCCAAAACAAAATCAAAACCAAAACCAAAACAAGGAAAGAATGATCACTTTGCTAAATGCCCCCAAGAGAACCACACAGGGCCTTCCTTTAGATAAATGGGTGGGAGAGGCTGAATTGTGTCCCCCAAACTTCCTATGCTGAAGCTCTAACTCCTAGCACTGAAGAATGTGACTGTATTTGGAGACAGGGCTTTCAAAGAGGTGATTCAAATGATGCTGGGAGAATGGGCCCTGGGCCCTGAGCCAGTCAGACTTGGGTCCTTCTAAGAAGAGCTGTGGACAGAGAGACACCACGAGGTGTGCAGGCACGGAAGATGGAGGGAAGACACAGCAGGAAGGTGGCCAATCATAAACCAGGGAGAGAGCCTCAGAGAAGCCAAAGCTGCTGACCCCTTCTTCTTAGACACTGGAGAGCAAGAGTAGGGGAAATACATTCCTGTCACTTAGGTCTCCCAGTCTGTGGTGGTGTTTTGTTAAACGGCAGCCCAGCCAAATACAGGGGTCAGAGAAACTCTGTGGAGACACCACCTGAACTGAGGCCCCAGGGGAAGGTTCTAGGTGGTGTGAGCACCACGCTCAAAGGCCTTGAGCAGGAAAAGTGCTCAAGTGTGCTCAGGGAACTGAGATGGCACAGGCTGGGGGCAGCACAGGAGAGGAAGTGGGGAGAGACTCAGAGGCCCTGCACACAGGGCCCTGGAAGGTGCTGGGTTTCTTATCAGTGCTATGTCAAGCTACTGAAGAGAGTTTTTGTTGTTGTCTGAAGATTTCATTTTCTTAGGTCGTCTCCACAGCCGACGTGGGGCTCGAACTCACAACCCCAAGACTGAGTCACATGCTCTACTGACCAAGCCAGCCAGGTGTCCCTGGAGAGTTTTAACTGGAGAAAGGACAAGATTTAGTTCCCACCTGGGGAGGAAGCCTCTGGCTGTGTGGGGCTAATACAGTAGGAGATGGGGGGAGAGCAGAAAGATGGATGGAGGTAGAAGACAACCCGGGCACATGATGGGGGCCTGGGAGAGGGTGTGTGGGTCCTGCCTGGAGCAGAGACGTAGATGGTGCCGCCTTTACGAGGTGAGACGGGGTGGGGGTGGCAGTAGTGGGAGGGGGATATCCTCCTGGGAAATCCCAGGAGAGCCAGGGCCACAGTCCCACAGCGGGTGTTGGCAGAAAACAACCAACTCCTTTTGGACACATCAAGTTGGAGATGGTCCAGAAGTGGGTGGCTGGAACCTTGAGGCTGGAACACATGGGAAGCATCTGGGCCTGACACAAATTCGGGAATCACCGCACGCAGACGCTGTGTAAGCCCATAGAAATGGAGGAGATCGTGGAGGGAGAAGGCTCGGAGAGACAGCTGCTCAGCACGGGCCCTGAGCAAGAGAGGAGCATTCGGCCGAGGAGACAGGAGACGGAGGCGTGCCTAGAAGCTGGCAGAAACCCCGGGCACGAAGCGTCCTGGAAGCAAGAGAAGAGAGCGTTTCCAGAGAGTGCTCACGCCGGCTCGATGGCTGAGAGAGTAAGATGAGGGCAGCAAAGAGACCATTGGATTTGGCAACACGGAAGTCACTGGAATCCAGTCTGAGTGCGGTGGAGTTAACCAGCAAATGTCCCAGCCCAGGAAGCTCTGGCTCCTGGGCCCAGCTCTCCACTCTTCCCGGAGATGCTCTGATTCCGGTTTTGCCTTCACCCCCGTGGATGACCCCGGGCAACCCGGATCCTTTCTCTGAACTACTGTTTCCTCAGCTGCAAAGTGAAGATGGGAAATTTCACTTCCTAGAAGTGACCAGAGACTGGTGCGTGAAGGGGAAAACGATGATGCCAGTACTTATCGTTATGATCCAAGTGCCAAGGGGTGGGGTTTGTGGGAATGTGTTCTCCCAGGCAGGTTAGGCTGGTTCTGTGCACACATCATCATCGCCTGACGATTCTGCCTCCATTGCCACTCTGGGTGTGAGCTACCATCACCTGTCACCACTGGTGCCTAACCGTGCCCATTCTCGCTCCTCCTTGGCCCCAGTGACATCACTTACCTGATTAAAACTCTCTGACAGCTTTCCCAATGCTTAGGATCAAAACAAACTCCTCACTTAGAGTGTGTCCGCTTGCACCAGCTCCTCTCCCTTCAAGTCCTCAAGTGTGCACAGGCCCTTTGCACAGGCTGTTCCGTGTGCTGAGGAACCCTGACGAGGTCACTTCCAAAAGGGGGGGCAGCTTCCTTCCTGTTCATCAGCTCTGTGCCTGACGGCACTCTTTCAGGGCAGCCTTCCCTGACCTTCGCCGCATGCCCAGGGCCCCCCACTGCTTGACCTCATCACGGTCCTTACTTCCCCTCCAGACAATGACCCCCCTTTTAGGAATTCTGCACTTCTGTGAGGGACCCCTCAATGTTTCTGTTCCTTCAGATGTTTCTGTTCCTTAGGGAGTGACCTAAGGGGATGTTGGCTGTAGCCCCCCAGGTGTCTGTGCCGATGTACTCCTAAAGCACAAATCAAGAAACCTATAACCCAGGTAAGCCCCAAGGACGATCATGGAACAGAGGTTATGGCATGCCTAACGAAGAGACCAGAAAACTGGATCCAACAGAGCCAGGCCGAGGTCTACAGGCTCAGCGGGGGCAAGGCTGCCTCTCCCCCAGCACACACTGGGTCCACCACACAAAGTTTCGCCCATGCAGTTCTGTCTTCACCATCTCACCCTCTGGCCCAGGGTGGCGGAGGGAGAAGGGGAAGGGATGGCAGAAGTCCACTTACCCAGAATTCAGGAAATAAAACACACAGAGCTTCTCCGGCAGGGTCTCTGACAGCCTCTGCGCGTAGTCCACGATGTTGTCGTGCAGGTAGCGGCTGTTGGTGTTGAGCATCTGGTTCTGTCCGTGCGCGGCCCGGACCACGAGAGGGTGGCAGTGTCCGACTGGGGGAGAGCCACCGCTGTCACACAGAGGCTCTGCTTGGCCGGTTCCACCGGACCTCCCCCAGCCCCAAGCCATAAACCTAGCTGGAGAAGAGCAGTTGCAGGGGAGAGATGGGGAGGGAAGAGGGACGCCTCAAGGTGGGGAGGGCAGAGAGGCCTGTTCTGGAAAGGAAGACCTGGAAAAGGTGTCCCTGAGATTCTGGCAGAAGAAACCCTATCTAGAAAACTCATGTTTTTAGGGAAGCTTCTTGAGGCCTGCTTGACAAAGATGGGAACATGGGGAGTGTCCACAGGCAGGCTTGACTTCCACAAGTCATCAGGGGCTGGAGGAAATGCTGATGGCCAACAGCCGCGGATTATAACGGTGAACACGTGTTGGCGGCTCGCCATGTGCCAAACACACTCAGAGCTAATTATCGGAATTAACTCACGGGTTTCTCCAAAACACCTTGAGGCGAGTAGCTCGTAGGATCATGTCTATTTTGCAGATCAACAAAATGAGGCACTGAGAATTAAGGAGCTTGCCCAAGTAAAGTAAGTGGAGGGCAGGGATATGAACCCAGGTAGTCTGGACCAGAGCCCCCACTTCTAACCTCTACTTCATTAACCCCTGATGTGTCTGTTGGGTCACAGACTCCCTTTCGTTCCACCAGCTCTGGCAGCCCCACCTGGATAACTGAATTCCTACCTCAGTTTCCTTGTCTACCCCTGAGAGGGTCCTTGGGGCTGACGCCCTGCTGTGATCCCCCAGCGCTTGGCTGGGGCCCTGCTGTGTACCTGGTCATGGCCAGGTTGACTGACGCGCTCTGAGCTCACCATCAGTCCCATGTGGGACTGGACATGTTTCTGACTCCTGCGTGGTTTAGCAGAGCTCCCGCTTGGAAACTCTAGAGTAGTCACACCAGAAAGGGCTCCTCTGGTCAGCTCGGTCCAAGTTCTCCACAGCTGTCTGCAATCTCAAGACCCCCTGGGACCAGGTTCACAGCCTCAGAGGGTTCCCAGCCAGCCTGAGGGATGATACTAACCATGAGCCACATTGTTGATACAATCGAGGTATTCTGCTCCCTCTTCGTCATACAAGTACTGTCCCTGGCCCCGGACAATCTTAATAGGATCCTCCGGGTAAAAGAGTCTGCAAGAATCGCTGTGGGGACAGCAAGAAGTGGACAGCCACGTCTGAAGACCAGAAGGGAAAAGTCCACCCACCACAGTTCCCCCCTCCTACCCTCTCCCCCATCCCGTTTCTGGAAGGGACAAAAGGTCGAAGGGCACAGTGGTGTTTCCCTGCTTCTAGGCCCCTACCGGTGGCTGGAGAGGAGGAAAGTGACGTACCCATCGGTAAGAATTTGCTAAAATTGAAACTGTTTAAGTCCTGGGAAGGCTACATGGCCTTGCTCATTTCTGCACAGGCCCAGGGAGAGGTGGCTGCCCCGGACCCACGGGGCTCCTTCAGGCAGTGTTTCTTCGCTGGGATGGGTGTGAAGGAGGGCGCCCCCATCAGGTGGCTGGCGCCCAGCCCTGAGCGGTCCTTGCCCCCGACGGTCTCCGCCGCCCCGCTCGGTGTCAGCCCCAAGCTCTAGCCAGAGGCTGCCTCACGCCCCAATGCCGCGCAGAGTCCCCGTCTCGGGTTACGGGTAGCCTTTCTCTAAGGCTTCTTGGGCGACGCGCCCCCCACCCTATGCCCACCCTTCGTCCGAACTTTCAGCCCCTTCCCGGGTCACCCTCAGGCCAGGCCCGGGAGGTCCCGGGGGCGGGCCAACCCTGGGGGAGGGCGTCCCGGTGCCAGGGCAGAGACCTCCTCCGAGGGGCAAAAGCTGCCCACAGCCGGGAGAGGACGCGGTGCGGGAAGTGGCCGCGGGGGCCAGCGGGCCGGGGAGCGGGAGCGCGCTCTAGGCCCGGGGCTGGCGTTCCTGGGCTCCGCGCCGGACGTGCGTGCGTCGTGCGTGCGCGCACCGCCCCGCGCCCCCGTCTCGGTACCTTAGCAGCCGCCGCCTCAGGGCCAGCGTCTCGGCCTTCCCCCGCACTACGGCGGCCATGGCACCCGGCGGCTGGTCGCGCGGGGACGCTGAGCCCAGAAGGCTCTCGCGTCCTCGGCCGCCAAATCCCGCCCCCGCCGCGCCCGGGCCCCGCCCCCGCCGCGCCCGGGCCCCGCCCCCGCCGCGCCCGGCCCCTGCGGTTTCCCTCGCTGGGGAGGGCTCCACCATGACCCAGACGCTTCCCGGTATGACAACAGAGTTCTGAGCTCAGGGCTCAGTCTCCGAGTCGCCTTTCTGGTGTGTAAAATGGGTTCCCCTGTGAGCGTTAACTGGGAATGTGTGCCAGGCACCCAGCGGAGGCCTGGTTCACAGCAGGAGCCCCAGGGTAGGAGATGAGATAGTCAGTGCTGGGGCCGACCTAGGGCTTTCAGGTCTCAAGGAGGAACAGCAGGAGGGCGCAGTGTCACTGCTGGGACTGACCGAGGGGGTCATGGCACCTGCTGCAATCCAGGCAGGGTGAACGGAGATGCATCAACGCTAGGAGAACACACGCAGTGTGGAGGCAGGACGAGGGTTGGGAGGCCCGCCGGAGACCCAGGGGCCCAGAAAGGACAGGGACTGTGCTCCCAGACACACAGCTTGTGGGCAGCCGAGGCTGGAACGCAGTTCGGTTCTGTCTGACTGTCGGTCCAGTGAGTCAGCAGCAATCGCTGAGAATCTGGGCTACCAGAGAAAGAACCCCAACTGGAGTGGGGCTCCGGGACTTTCTGCCTTGACGAACCCAGAACAAGGGACCCAGGTTGAGGCCTGAGCTAGCTGAGGAAGGGGAGGTTCCTGCTGTCCCTCCTGCCGCCTTTCCAGTCTCAGCCCTCTGCTTTGCTCCCTCATTGCTGATTTCTTCATCTCTTCCCCCCACGCAGTAAGGTAAGCCTCCTCTTCCACCTCGGTTCATCTGGAAAAGGGGAGCATCATCCTTGTGGTTAGTCAAACCCCCGTGGGGCTCAGTAAATGTGCTTCCCTCGCTTCAGAAGGGGGTGGCCTGAGGCAGAGAGACACGAGGCTCTCAGTCCTTGAAGCTCAGCTGGAACCTCGAACGCATCATTCACTCTCCATGTCTCCTGCCCCCAAGCCGAGCTCTTGGAGAACTCCACCCCCTGCGTACCTTGAAACTTGTTGAAATTTGCAGACCTGATGATACACAGTATGAGGCCACAAGGGGGTAGCAGTGGGCCATGAATGGCCTTGTCGGGCCCTAGGTGCAGGGAGGCCTGGGGAAGGGGGAACATGGGGTTTCCACCCCAGGAGGATGGGCCTGCCAATCACCCAGGATCACGACACTGCCTAGCAGACCCCATGCCCTGCCAAACAATTTGGAAGGACAAACTGGAGGCTGTCCGAGAACCCAGGCCTGTCATCCTGTCTTGTCTGTGCATCCCTGGGCAGGTGACTAACTTGCTTAAGATCCTCAGATCCCTCATATATCAAGTGGAAACAGGGACATGGATCACATTGGTTCTGTTCTGCACAGGACTGCTTATGGGGTCCAGTGAGTTGCCTGGATGGAGGGAGGAGCATATTACAAACTGTCGAGTAGGTTCAATTTGGGAGGTTTCTAGGCCTTGGGTCTGTCTTTCTAACTTCAAACCCTGTCCTTGTCCTCACCCCGAACAATCCTCTGGTTTGTTCCTCTGGTTTCGGGGGTGCCTCTGACCCAGGGAGCGTCCCCTTCCTTGTCCCTCCCTACCCAGAGGGGCCCAGGGGCAGTCGGCAAGGACAGGCACACCCGGACACACACTGGGGTTTATTACACACAGCGATATCCATCTATACAGAGAAGGGAGGCGAGCCTCTGGGTGGGAGGTGGCCAGCTGGGGGACCCTTGTCTGAGGTGGGGAGGCCTCTCCTCAGGGCACCGGGCCCTCTTCGTCTGCATGGCTCATCTGAAAGACCAGTTCTGGCAGGCTGCCCAGAGTCCTCTCGGGTGGAGAGTTGGGGCCAGTGAGACTCAAACTCTTGAGCCGCAGGCCGGTCTCCTTGGGTTGGCAAAGTCCCATCATGACTCTCTTCTGGGTGCTGCGAGAGGCACAGGAAGCAGCAGCCCCTCCCATCTGGGACCTGCCGTTCTCCGAACTCGCGGATCACGGGGATCAAGAGGCTTCTCCGCAGCTGGGTCCACAGGTCGTGGTGGGAGAGCTTGGGCCTCTCCTCCGGGCTGGAGGCCACGTGTTCTCACAGCAGGCTGGGTTCCCGAAGCCTACTGAACTCGCTTGGGAGCGTGACCCGCTGGGGGCTCTCCCCATAGCTCCCAGCATCCAGCTGGGCAGGAATCTTGTCCTGGCCTGGGGAACCCGGGCCCCAGAGGGCCCCGAGGGGTGGGCAGCTGGCTGGGGCTGAGGCCAGAGGCCAGAGAGGCGGGGACAGCTGCATTTACTGTCCAAGCCCTGGGCCTTTCTGGATGGAGCGGGCCCCAGGGCTCCGGAGTTTCTGGGGGTGTTGGGGGGTTGCAGTCTCTCTGCTAATCAGGTGGCTGAGGGCCCAACCCAGCATTCTTGCAGCCTCTCTTGAGCCAGGCGCTTTCACCTTCGTCTCCTTCCTGGGGAAGCCAAGTCCCATGGCTGCCCCCCGAGTATGCGATTCCCGTGGACTGGCCTGCTTTCCTGCCAGCTTCAAAGGCTGATTTCTGGGGCTGGGCCAGGCACCCTCTTGAATGTTATGAGGGCCACATGTCGTGCCTCCCGTGAGAAAAAGATCAATATATTACTGTTTTTTGTTTTTTTGTGTTTTTTTACAAAAATTAAAAACGTCCACACGTATCTGTACAGGTTGTGAGCTGGGTGCGGGGGTCACTGGAAGAGAAAGGAGAGACCCAAAGGTGAGGAGGGAGGCCCCAGAGGCCCCGTCCTGGTCTGGGCATTCTGTCCTGCACATTTCTTCTAGAACAGGCGTGCCCCCAGTCCTCTCATCCCTGGGCAGGGCTTCCACCCACTCTCAGTGGGGCAGTAAGGACAAAGTTCCAGGGTGTCTGGATGGCTTTGCCCTCGCTGGGCCAGGCACGGAGTGAGCCCTGAATGACCACCAGGGGGCGCTGTGCACAATCACCCAGGATCACAGCCCCAAACCTTGGGCCATCTGATGGGGCAGTCAAACCTAGGGTCGCCTCATCACGGGCAAACCCAGCTACTTAGGCACTGTGTGGTGAGCTGCAGATAGCAGCCCCTGGGGGTCCCCCTCAATGTCCCCTTTCTCCCAGCCTGTCCTAGAGACTCTTTCCTGCGAGTTACCTTATGCCAGCAGCCAGGCACGGGCAGTCCATCGGGGCCCTGGAAAACAAAAAGGTTTCAGTGATGGGGCTGGGGGACTGGTCATCTCCCTACACTCCATACAGTCTTGCCCTGGGTGTCGGGAGGAACGGCCCTGGGAGCTGCCACATGAGGCCCCTGGACCCCACCAAGGCACGGCCCGAATGTTTGTCCCCTGAAGAGTTGGGTCACGAGCCTGGCAGGCCTCTCACTGTCCTTGCTAAGGACAAAGCCCCTACAGGGCTTTGCTTGTTGGGACACTGAAGCAGGGGACAAAACCGTGCCACCGGGGAGGATCGGGGATTGTGCTACAATCTGCTGGCTGGGAGATCGCCACTCTTGACACTAGCTCCGGCCGCACACATTGGGGGCCTGAGGGCTCTCGGGGAGTTTCTTCAGGACCATTTGAAGGGCAGTCCAGGAAGTAGGATGCCCGAGGCCTGTCCTGGTCCCTGGGCCTGGGTATGAGAGGCAGATGGGGCACGCTGAGGCTCGCAGGGTAGAAAGCGAGGTGGGGGGTAGGGGTCATCTGGGGTACCATTAGAGCCAACGCTGGCTTGCTGGTTCGGGGCACTCAGACTCCAGGGAGGGTGGGGTGGGGTGGGTTGCCTCAGGCAGCCCGGAGGGCTGGGGGAGCTGGAGAGGGACAGTGGCAGACACCTCCACCAGCCTAGAGTCCTGGGGGGTAACCCTGGCGCGGGAAACACTTCACTCTGGAGGTACCCCCAGGAGCACAGCCCCCAGAACTGCCGTGCATCCACCAGGGGCACAGGCCAGGGCCCGGAGGGAAGTGGGGAGGAGGGGCCAGAAGGAAGGGAAGGCAGGATGGGGGGCGGTCAGAGCAGTGGGCACCCCAGCCCAGCCCAGCACCCAGCACACAGCACACAGCAGGCCAGATCTCATACCGCGGGGCAGGGCCCCCTGGAGCCCGGCGCCCCTCGCTTGCCTCCACATTTGGGATTCTCCTGTTTCAAAGACAAAGGCTAAATGACCCAGGGCCTGGAGCTGCAAGGCTAGGCCCACTGCGTCCTGCCGGTGTCCCCATACTTTGTGTGTATGCCTACCATGCTGCTCTTCTTGTCTTTTCCTCATTGACTCATCAAGCCCCTGGAGTACAGATTAGCACCCCTACTGCCTGGATGGGGGACTGAAGAATGAGGACCGCCTCTGGGATCCCTCACTCCGAATCCCCTTTGGAAGGCGGCCGACGCGCATTGGGGCTGGGGTGGCCGGGCGTGGCTACCTGCTCAGTCTTGAGTCTGAAAACACCCTGCTGTCTTTCGTGTCTCTGCTGAGCTCCCCAGGAACCCTCCCAGCCCTCCGGCGAAGGGAACTGAACTGTGGTTCCTTCAGGCCTGTGGTCTGGGGAGCCTTGAGGAGCTGATGATGTACAAGAGAAGGAAAGGAGGAAGGTGTTGGGGGGCAGGGAAGGATTCTGGGGCGCACAGAGGAGAGGTACGGACTTGGAGGGGCCACCCACACCAGTAAAAGCCTCCTCCTCGGGACCCACACCCAGAGGGCGAAGGGTGTCCTAACCCCCTTTTAGGCCAAGGAAGCTGAGAAAAGAGGGGTGGTGACGCCAGCAAGGACTCTGCCCTGGGGCACAGCCTCCATCTCTGGGGAGCGGTGTGGGTCCCCCTGAGCCATGCCCATGGAGGGGAGTCAGGACCAGAGCAAGGGGAGCCTCCCTGATGGCAGGGACAAGACATGGTGGTCTCTGGGACTTGCAAGGGAGCTCTGAGGACAGAGAAGACACCGGCCCGAGCCCGGCCTGAGGTGGCGAAGACCTGGGTTGGGGCTCCCACTCTGCTCCAACACGTACCACAGGACACGGCTGGTCCAGGCCCGGCGGTCCCGGCTCACCCTTCTGGCCCTTCACGCCTTTCCGGCCTGGGACACCTCGCTCCCCCTGCACAAGGAGGGAGACGGGGATGTGGCCGTGGCTGCCAGGCCCAGGACCCCTTTTCCACCCCTCAGAGGGATGGGCCTCCAACTGGCAGCCACCCCATCCTTCTGCCCCCCCCATCCCAGCCTCCCTCTGCTCTGGCTCCTCTCCTGCTGGCCCCCCTTCTCTCCACCGGCTCCCTACCTTCTCTCCACGTTCGCTCCGGTCACCTTTCTCTCCTCGGGGTCCAGGGAACCCCTGGCAAAAGGAGTAACATGAGGTCTGAGGTTCGCTCTTGCTCTATGTTCCTCTCCGTGCCCCTTCCATCCGTCACTGCCCCGCCCCCATGCCTGGTCAGGGTACAAACTGGGCCCACTCCAGCTCCTAGGGGACACGTAGGCTGGGTGCAAGGCTGATTTAGAGATGAGCATGCATTCAGGACACCAGCGCTGTGTCCTCCAGAGGAAACACCACTGGGCTCTCTGGAGACCCCCTCAGGCAGAGCCGCTGGCCAGGGGTTTGCTCTGACGTTCCTGTCCTATGTAGCTGGCGCGGGTCCAAGCGTGGCTAGGGACAGAGACCCGGGGAACTCGTGGGCGTTTGTGTCACTATCTTTGCCAGACTAAGAAACGGTAAACTCTGTTCTCTGACTTTGGCTTAATCTCTTAAGCCCCTCCCCGCCCACCCACCTATCCATCCATTCTTCCGTCCACCCCTGCCACCAACATTTCTAAGCATCCTCTAGGAAGTGGGTTGTTGCTGGACATGGAGGACAGGACAAACAGATCTGATGTGTCTACCCTCTCCCCCTTTTTATTTTCTGGATCTCAGACTGTTTTGAGATCTTGAACTTGCTGGCTAGGGACAGGCTGCCCCTCCCTCATGCCTGCTCTTGCAGGTAGCAAAGGCCTGGTCTGGGAGGAGGTTTCATACGTAAACCAACAATCCCCCACCACCCCCTTGATCTGCCTCTCACGCACAAGCCGATACTTCCCCTGCCAGGAATCATCCCCAGGCCAGGTGACCGAAGCCTGGGCCTCCCCTCCAGCCCAGATCCCACTGGCATTGTTCATACTCGCCTGTTCTCAACTGTTTCCTGGGTCCGGCCTGCCTTTCCTGAAGAGACTCCCATAAAACTCTGTCCTCCAACCCCTTTCTCACCCCCCACCCCCGACCAAACCTGGTGCTTCCCCATGGGGCCCTGCATTGCAAGGTGAGCCCTTCCCTTAGGAAACCTAAGTAACCCATTCTTCCCTCAATGGTGACCTCTCTGGGTCATCACTCGGTCACCTCCATAAATTAAAAACTCACGGGAACAAATGGGACACTTCCCTGACGGTCTAACAGGGCAGGCAAGAGGGCAGAGAGGATGGTGGCCAATGCTCAGGGACACAGGATGAAGCAGAGACCAGGGGGTTCCCCGGAGAGGGGCTGTTCTAGCCAGTTGTGAGGCTGGGGAGCCCGAGCAGAATCCCCACGGCGGCTTGGCCCGGTGGAGCGGGTGCGGGGCCAGTGGCTTGCCGGGTAGAGCAGGTGGGCCGGCCTTGAGATGCCACTCTGAGCTGTGAAGGCAGCCGCGGCCACCCCCCACCACCTCCCTTGGTCCAGAGCCTGAACAGGATCCGGCATTGGCTTCTTCTCCAGACCCATCTCAGGGATGGACCACCATCCTCCCGATCAGAAACTCTGTGTGTCTACAGTTGCTCTCCAAGGGGTCACTCTCTCCTTCAAGTCCAGGGAGGACACCAGAGTCCCTGCAGCCCTGATTCTGGTCACCATTCCCCTGTAATAGCTACCGGATTTTCCTGGGGACCACCCTCCCTTCTTAAAATCTGCTGACTCCACCCCCAGCTCCAGAGGGAGCACGTGATCCGGCCTGGCCAATCAGGGCACTGCATTTCTTTTGGCCAAGTTGATCTTTCAGCACTGACCCAACTGGGGCCGGTGAGAACTGATGAGACTTTTCTAAAAGAGAGACTGAAGCACATAGTCTTTCTCCAGGGTTTGGGTCTGGGAGGATGTGAGTCTGGGGCCACTGCCTCCATCCCATCACCACATCTAATTTGAAACAACACCCCCACAGCAGAAGCACGGACAAGGAAGCAGGAGAGGCTGGGTTGTGTGGATTGTGTGTTGTCCCTCTGGGTTTTTAAATTAGGAGTTAGTTTGAGCCAGTTTTCTGTTTTCTATTGCTGGCAACCCAAAGACACTTGATCCGATCAACTTTGGGCTAATACTTCCTCTCCTCTCCTTCCCACAGTAATGTGCTAGCTGAAGCTTCATCTTCTCTCACCAGGATATTGCAATCCTGCTCTCCTTACCTTCCTGTCCCAGTGCAGCATCTTTCCATTCAGTTATCCATCACCCTTTCACCCATCATCCATCCATCCATCCACCATCCATCTGTCCTTCATCCATCATCCATCCATCCATCCCTCATCCAACCATCCGCCCATCATCCACCCATCCGTCATCCATCCATCCATCATCATCCACCTACCCATCTTCCATCATCCATCCACACATCTTCCATCTGCCCACCATCCATCCACCATCCATCTATCCACCCATCCACCAACCATTCACCCATCTCCCATATACCCATCATCTATCCACCCATCATCCATTCACCCACCATCCACCCACCCATCTCCCATCCATCCATCATCCACCATCCATCATCTATCCATCCACCATCCAACCATCATCCATCCATCCATCCATCTACCCACCCATCTTCCATCTACCCATCCTCCATCTGCCCACCATCCACCCATCATCCATCCATCCATCTTCCATCCATCATCCACCATATATCCACCCATCATCTACCCACCCATCATTTATCCATCCACCATCCATCCATCATCCATCTACCCATCTTCCATCCATCCATTATGCATCCATCCATAATCCATCCATCCATCCATGACCCACCCACCCATCATCCACCCACCATCCATCTACCCATCCTCCATCCGCCCATCATCTATCCACCATCCATCCATACATCTATCCATCCATAATCCATCCATCCACCCATCTTTCACCCACCCATTATCCATCCATCATCCATCCATCCATCCACCCATGAAGTACCTACTCTGGGTTGTGAACTAGACTTGGCACTGGGGACACAGGGGGAACCAGTCGGTTTGCAGTCCCAGCCCTGGGGAAGGGGGTCACATCCGAGCCCAGCAGATCAGGTTATTGTATGGCCAGTGCAAGTGCAGAAGCTATACACAGGAGCCTGATCACAGTGAATGATGAGATACTTACATCTAGTCCTGGCTCCCCGGGTCTTCCCTGAGGAGAGACAAAGAGGACATGTCAGGGGCCAGGGAGGGGTTGCTGGGAGCACTACTGCCGGGATGCTCAGCCTTGTGAGTTGTCCACAAGCCTGATTTATGGCCCTGGGATGGTGTGGTGCAGGGGGTTGAGTCCCCGGAGCTGAGTGACACTGTAAATGTGCAGCTGTACTTGGAGGGCATCAAAGGAAGGTCATTACCTTCTCTCCTTTGGTTCCCGGCAGCCCAATAAGACCTGGCGGGCCAGCTGGCCCCTGGGTAGAAAAGAAACAGGTCAAGAGGCATGACAGTTATAGGAATTAGTGCCCCAGAGAGATAAAAAAGGCTCATGATGACACTCACAGGCAGGCCGCTGGGGCCTCTGTCACCTGACACACCCTTCTCTCCCTTTGCTCCATCCAAGCCCTGGAAGCAAAGAGGAGACATCAGTCACGGGGGAAGGGCTCAGACAGTAGGACAGGAAAGCCTCGGGCCTGAGTGCAAGCTGGGAACTGCAGGGCAGAGAAACAGACACCCCAGTTTCTTTTTAGTGCAAACCAAAGCCCACATATGGGCTTCCTTGCACCCATTTCACAGATGAGTAAAGAGATGCAGAGCAAGGGGCAGGGACAGGTCCAGCTGCACAGCTGAGCGGCAGCAGGGCTGAGGACCAGTCGGGTTTCTGAGCTGGCCTCCCCCACGCGAGGCACAAGGGCAGGCCACACTCAACGGTTTTAATTTAAGAGCAGAGGACATGACATTAGGTAATACACACCAAACCCAAGACTTCATGTCCAGGCTATGGGCAGTTGAGAGACAGATGTGTGAGTGGGGGGCACGGGGGAAGCGGGTCGGGGGGGTGAGGTGGGGTGGCCCAAGGAGGCGGAGGCAGCAGACAAGTGTGCAGGCAGAGGGACAAGGTGGAAGAAGAGTCCCAGTGTGGGGCTGGGTGGGCACATGGTCCCAGGACATCAGGGAGGTTGGGCTCCAAGGGATCCAGAACCTTCAGGCTCTGGGATAATCCAGAGCTGGTTTGGGGCCAAGTGTGGGGCCCTCCCTGCCCATTAGCAAGGCTTTCTGGAACTATCCAGGTTGGGCATCTGCAGTGAGTAGAGGGATTTCCAGAACTCACCTTGGGACCCTGGATTCCCTGAAGGCCCTAGAGGAGGAGGAGAGTGGTCACAGAAGCTTAGAGGCCACTCACTGGCCCCATGGCCCTGACCTCTGTGGCCTCCCAAGCCCAGACCCAGGCTCTCCTGTATTGCTTGATATGACCCCCTCCCCACCAGAAATCCTGTCTTCCCCTGGGTCACAGCTCCAAGCCTGGGCTCACCACCCTCTGCGGATGTCAGCTACTTCATATGAAATGGTCTTACCATGGGGCCTGGGGGACCAGGGGGGCCGGGGGGCCCTGGTGCCACTATGATCTGGGCCTAGGAAACAGTCAAAGATGGGTTAGTCATCTAACCCCCTGTCATACCTCACTAGCCCATGGTTGAACACAGTGGACATTGCATGAGCACTTCTGGGGGGTGGGGCAGCTGGGCCTTGAGCCACTGGGCTGAGTCTCTTTCCTGCCCCCAGAAGGCCACTGCCTGGTGGGGGGGCCCAGGGGCTAGCCTTCGGGGTTCTCAGACGGGCCTCAGTTGGAGGACACAGCCCGAGGTGCCCCCCTCCCACTCCCTTGCTGCCCTGGCTTTGGTCAGGCCAGGTGGCCTTTCTGTCCCAAGGCTCAGAGCCCCAGCTGGCTTGGGCCGGGAATTAAGGGGAGACCTTGGTCCTCAGCAGCCCCCCTTACCAGGCTCTCTCGTAGACTGTCAGATGCCGACTCTCCCTTCTCCCCCTTGGGCCCGTCGGTGCCCTGCAGGACAGGATGGCCTTCAGCCCTTTCTGCCCATCACCAGACCCACCGCCCGCCGTAGGTGCACTTCCCCTGCCTTCCCCATGGGGCCCCCAGCGGGAGCGATGAGTTGGCATTTACAGCTCAAAACAGTTTCCCCCAGATCTGTGACAGACACGCTCTGGGCACCCAGCAAGGGGGTTTCTGGAGAGCATAAACTGTCTCCTGTGGGGCAGGGGGCACCCAGGGGCTCTGGAACCAAAGACCTCTCTAGCTGAAGGAGCCCTGTGGACACTAGATGGGAAAAGGGGCATCTATCCCCTAACTAGCTAGCTACTTGAACCTGCAGCTCTTCCCGTCTAGCCACCATGACCGTGACAGTGGGCACTGAATCACATGGCCAGCCACCACTCTTGGCCCCGTCGTGCAGGCCCTCCTGAGTGGGAGATTATTATCCCCATTTTAGAGGCGGGGAAACCGAGGCCCAGGGAGGTCAGGACACTTGTGCAGTGTTCCAGAGCCAGCAGGGGACAGAGGAGAACGCAAACTTGAGCAGTCAGCGGGGGCTCTAACCACCTGCCGGCTCTGTTCCACCTTGGTGGGGGGTGGGGGGGCCTTGGGAAGTCCTCGCACAGAAGAGGAAGAGAATGTGGAGGCTCAGAGAGTCCAAGCTGCCTTTCAAAGGCTCAAAGGCTTGCAGCCCCTGGGCTGGGCGGAATTAGTAGGGCCCTAGCGGTGCCCCCCTCCCCCATGGCTGCTGTTGGGGAAACACGCTGGCCTTGGAACCCCATGGGGGCAGAGGAGGGTGGACCCCGTGCCCCACCTACCGGGAGGCCTGACAGGCCCATCTCGCCTGTCTCCCCTTTGGGTCCGGTTGGCCCAGCCTCTCCTGGGTCTCCTTTGGCTCCTTTGGGACCCTGCGAGCCATAAGAACAGGGGGTCGGTGGAACTCAGCAGGCATGCTCCCTTCCCTCACCACAGGGGGCTTCCCCAGAGCTTACTCCTGACCAAGCCAGACTCCCACCCCCACTTCTTCATCCTGGGTCCCTGGCTCTGACCCAGATGATGAATGCACTGAGGGGCTTGGATGAAGACAGGCATGCGGGGGACCAGCGTGGGGAGGGGTAGAGGGAGTGAGACTGGGCAGCCCCTGTAGGGGCCCTTGGGTCTTGGGGTGGAGGGTCGACCCTGTGCTTGCATCTCAGGAGCCGGTGGTGGGAGACCCCAGACCCCACGCACAACCAACCATCCACCCAATGCCCCTCCCAGCCACTCATTGCCTCTCTCAGCCAATCACAGAATCACGCATCCAAGACGCGGCACGAAAGCCACGGCCATGAACGTCCAGTGATGCCCTCGACCCCATGCTGTGCACGTGGGGACACACCAGTGTGCACTTAGAGCCATACTCATAGGACCCAGAGCAACAGGACCGACGTTAGCTAATATTTGAACACTCTGCCCTAGATCGCGCCCTAAGTGTTTTACACACAAATGATTATTTAAGGCTTACACCTTGGGACCGTCCTCCCCTCCAGGTGAGGACCTGAGGCTGCCAGAAAGCGAGCAACTTGCCCGAGGTCTAAGGGCAGAACCAGGACAAGCACCCTGGCTGCACACTCTGCCCTGTGCTAACCCTGCGCGCGCGCGCGCACACATACACACACACACACACACACACACACACACACACGCTCACACGCAGCCCACCACTAGGCACCAGCATCGCCAAGCAAACAAAAGGCCCAGAGACCTTCTCTCCGTCGATTCCTGGGGCACCAGGCAATCCCAGCTCACCCTGGAAGGGAAGAGAAAGCAAGGGGGGTTATGATGTCCCATGGTCCCCGAGAGGGCCTTGTGGTCCCTAAAGTGGGCGAAGCCTAGGAAGGTGTGCCCTGGTCCCCAGCCGCCTCCTCAGCTCCTCCAGGCAGATGCAGACCGGGGCTATAATTTACAGTCTAGGGGGTGAGAGCTTGGGAAACTGAGGCTCGGGGAGATTCAATGACTCGTGGCAGGACACACGTTCCAGGGCAACAGCCGGGACCAGATCTCGCCTCATTTCCAGGTCTCCTGAGCCAGCCAGGCAGCGGTTGGTAAGTGATGGGTGTGGGCCATAGGAACGGCTCTGTCTGTCATCTATGGGACCTGGGGTTTACATGTGGGAATGAGGCCTCCAGGGAGGAGCGAGGGCCAGGAGCAGGACATCCAGCTTGGTTAGGCCACTTTCTCTGAACCCCCAGGAGTCAGGCCGGGTTGCCAGGAGAGAAGTGGAGTAAGCATGGCAGAGAGGAGAGGGGAGGTGGGTGCTGGAGTTCGGGGGCTTGGAGGGGGCCACACAATGGACCCATGAACTCACCTTGGCTCCAGGGATCCCTGGGGGCCCTGGAGGCCCCTGTGGCCCCGGAGGCCCCTGTGTGTGAAAGTCAAACTGGTCAGTATGTACACGAGTACCCCCCCACCACCCACCAGGAGCCGGGGCTCTGGCTGGCCTGCAGCAGTGTCAAAGCCCCTCACTGGGGGCACCTGGGTGGCTCAGTGGGTTAAGCCTCTGCCTTTGGTCCAGGTCATGATCCCATGGTCCTGGGATCGAGCCCCACATCAGGCGCTCTTCTTGGCAGGGAGCCTGCTTCCCTCTCTCTCTCTGCCTGCTTGTGTTCCCTGTCTGTCAAATACATAAATAAAATCTTAAAAAAAAAAAAAAAAGCCCCTCACTGACTGCTTCCCACCCAGTCCCCACTCTTGTCTTGGTGGGGGGAGGGAGGTGTCACCACAGACCAGGTGGAATACCACGGAGTCCACTGCGATGGTGGGTCCAGAATCCCCTGCCTTCAGAGCCAGTATCCCCCAAACATAGATTTCGTCACAACACTCCCCTGCTCACTCCTGAGGCTCTTTGGGGGCAGGCCTGGCTGCCGTCATCCTCCCCCAACAGCTACTAGAAGACGTAGCCCTCCAGCCTGTGCCCCCTGGGGAAGGTGCCAGGAGGGCCTGCTGGGACTGGACATCAGGAAATGGTCTGTCTCCTGCCCCTGAGCAGAGAGCTTCCCTTTTCACTTTGGCCTCTGGGGAGCTCAGGGTAACATAAGCCATATTCACGGCAGCTCTTAGCATCTGGGGTAGGGGGTGCTCAGCACAGCTCTGATTTCCTTATCAGACACACCTGGTGAAGCTGGGGTCTTTGTGCTAAGCTGTCCCCCGACCCTTGTGTAAAGAAATGCAGGACCGGGGCACCTGGGTGGCTCAGTGGTTGAAGCCTCTGCCTTTGGCTCGGGTCATGATCCCAGGGTCCTGGGATCGAGTCCCGCATCGGGCTCTCTGCTTAGCGGGGAGCCTGCCTCCTCCTCCTCTCTCTGCCTGCCTCTCTGCCTACTTGTGATCTGTCTGTCCAATAAATTAAAAAAAAAAAAAAAAAGAAAAAAGAAATGCAGGACCGATACACTAAGTATGTGGTTGTCTCCCCAGGAAAAGAACCAGGATGCATCCTGGTCCTGCCACTAACCTACCTTGAGGGCGTCCAGAATCCTGCCATCATAGTCTATCACCACCGTGTCTCCTTGCTCACCCTTGAGGCCCTGGGGACCCTGAGGCAGAGGAAGAGTGAGAATTTCAGGGTGGGGCAGAGGTGGCCGCATGTGTATCTGAACCCGGGACCCTAGGAACCCTGCCCACACGACGGAGGTAAAGTCCGTGTGCCGTGTGGTGGCTCGGCTGTAACCCGATGGGACCCCCGCGAGCTCATCCTCCAGGATCTACATGGGCACCCCAGTCCCTGAGAGACGCTCCAAGGCCTGGAGAGCAGGTGTCCGGGGCCTGGAGCCAACAGAAGAACAGGCTCCTGCCTTGTCTGGCTGCCAGTCCCGTGGGAACCCAAGTCCCCTGAGGTCTCAACCCGGAGTTCTCCAGGGAAAACAGAAAATCTCATTCTTTTTTTTTTTTTTTTAAAGGTCTTTTTTTTTTTAATTATTATTATTTTTAAGATTTTATTTATTTGTCAGAGAGAGGGAGAGAGAGCACAGGCAGACAGAATGGCAGGCAGAGGCAGAGGGAGAAGCAGGCTCCCTGCCGAGCAAGGAGCCCGATGCGGGACTCGATTCCAGGATGCTGGGATCATGACCTGAGCCGAAGGCAGCTGCTCAACCAACTGAGCCACCCAGGCGTCCCAGAAAGTCTCATTCTGATGTGAAGTTCTTCCGATTTCTAAATGTCGGCCGTACAAAGGTGCAGAAATCAACACGTTCCCCCAAATGCCCAGACACCGTGTAGACCAACTGCCAGCTCGATCTCAGCCTTGTGCCTCAGTGCCTCAGTGTCCCAGGCTCTGGTAGAAGCTGTGCATGCTCACATGTGCGTAGGACTGTCTGCAAACGCAGGTGTCCACACGCGCACATGCTCTAATGGGGTCCCTCCTCCCCCAACCCTTCCTCAATAAACCTCCCTCTGCCCCAGGCTGCTCTCTACTAGGCCCACCGTGAGGGATGGGCAGCACTCTGCTCAGGCCTGGGGCCAGCCCCCTGCAGAGGGCCCAGAGACCCTGGCCAGGGGTCCTCCCTTGCCAGCAGGCTCCACAGTCACAATCCCCCAGAATCCCACGCTCAGTGCTGAATCCAGCCCCTGCCACCTGTACGACCAGACTGTGGGCTTATTAGCCTTGTTTTTTTTCGGAGGAGAAAACCAGCCTCCGGGAGTGTTCAGGCTTGTGATTGCTGGAGGCCACCGAGCAAGGAACGGGACCCCTGGTGTTGTCCCTAAGGGTGGGTTGACAGCGGCTGGTCGCAAATGATCGGAGACCAGCGCAGGGGCGGGGGTGGCTCTGCTTCTGGAGACAGGGACAAACTGCAAGGTGGGACAAGGCACCCTGCTGGGGGAGGGTCACCCCCACTCCCTCCCCAGGTGATGCACAGAAGGTCTGTGCTTGAACATAAGACAAGACTCTGGAAGGGCGGACACTCAGCTGGGGACAGCTCGTTTTCACACATGTGTATTTGAACATTTTACCAAAAGTAGGTATGGTGAGATTGAAAATTTAAAAATCAGTAATGAATGATTTAAAAAAAAAAAGACTCCCATTTCCCAGAGCTCCAGGGCTCCTCTGGGGTCTCCCGCGAGAAATGACGGGGGCATCTGAAGAGCTCCAGGCCTCTGGGTTCCCTTGGCATGGCCGGAGGGGGGACTCACTTACCCGCAGTCCTGAGACTCCGTCCATGCCTCGCTGGCCGGGCTCTCCCTGGGGAGATGCGAGGTTGCAGCCACATGTGCGTGGCCGCCCCATGCCCCTTCAGTCCCCGTCACCCAAAAGCGTGAGGCCCACGTGCTGGAGCCCCAAGGGACCTCCGTATGCAGTCAGTGCCCCAGAAACAGAGCTCCTGGAAGGAGGGTCCAACGGGAGCCCCCTTGGACCCCACAGTGTGTAGAGCTGGGCCACTGAGGGATGGCCTGGCTTCCCCAACTGCAGGATGACTGAGCCACATGGCCAAGCTTGGGGGAGGGGGCTTGTCCTTCACCCAAACCTGTGGCCACCCCTGGGGCCAGCCTCTGACAACCCGCAGAACCAGACCCCAGATCCCACGTCCTCCTGCAACTCCCCAGTTAAAAGGGCAAAAGGAGGCAAAGCCACGTGACCCCAGGATGGGGGCACAGGTCTGAGCGCGCACTGCGAGGCACCTTTGGCCCTGGGGTGCCGTCCACACCATTTTCTCCTGGAGGCCCCGTGTTCCCTGGCTCGCCCTGCAACAGAGAGGTTCGCAGTGAGTGAGCGTGCCAGGGGCCAGCTGGGGCTGCAGGCTTTGTGATTCCTGAGGAACACACCTGAGCCCCTCTGGGGCATAGTTAGGGCCCCTGGGGGGGCTCACATGATATTTTGGAGACAGGCTGGCAAGAGAGCAAGGATGATACCCTTATCCTACCTTGGGGACAGGGTAGAGTGGGCGCCACCCCCCAAACCTGCACTGTGAAAGGGCCGTTAGGGGTCTCACCAGACCGCTGGGAGCCAAGGGAGGTGGGAGGCAGGGGGCCCTCTGGGGGAGACACAGGTACCTACCTTAGGGCCTGGGAGTCCGGGGAGCCCTGGCTGGCTTGGAATCCCGTCATCCCCCTGAGGAGAGAGCAGCTGAGGCTGCAGCCCTCAGGCGCAGGCATACTGGTTTTGGCTGTCTCCCCCATCCCGCGCTCCCCTGCCCACCAGCCCACCAGACCTCTGCAGGCGCCAACATTGGTCACACTGGGTGGGGACAGGGGGGCGTGGCAGGGTGGGTCCCCCAGGGCCAGCCCAGAGCACGCATGAGGGGGATTGGCGCACGGAAGGGAGGGGCGGGCAGGTGGAGGAGAGGGGATTGGCTCCTTCAGTCAATACGTGTGAGCGTGTCTGTAGGCCAGGGAGATAGGGTCCCTGCTCAGTGGGGGAAGAGAGGCGCCTGAGGTCAAGGAACTATCCAGATAAACCCACAGCACCAGGCCAGGAGGTGGAAGCAGTGCTGGGAAAAGAGTATAAGGGGGTGGTGGGATGGAGGGATCAGAGCGACCTAGGGGAGCTTTTTGGAGACCTGGCAAGGGAAGGGGTAGAAGGAGATAACCCCAGGCCAGTGGTTCCCAAACTTGAGTGCATGCCAGTGTCACCCCGGGAGAGGTGCTGGACAGACCACAGCTACAAATTCTGGTCACCAAGGGGACGCCTGAGTGGCTCAGTTGGTTTAGTGTCTGCCTTCGGCTCAGGTCATGATCTCAGGGTCCTGGGATTGAGTCCCACATCGGGCTCCCTGCCCAGCGGGAAGTTTGCTTCTCCCTTCTCCCTCTGCTCCTCCCCACTGCTAGTGCTCTCTTTCTGTGTCTCAAATAAATAAATCAAATCTTTAAAAGAAATAAATAAAAGTTCTGGTCACCAATTCTGATGGGTGCGGGGTGTGTCCACACCCCCACCCAGGGGATTCCCCACTACAATTTAACCCCATTCTGATACTTGTCAACCTGGAGAGAGCGTTGGATCCCACAGGTTAAGGGCCCAGTCCTATAAGACAGCACCCCCCCACCCCTGCACCCGCCACTTTAGGCACCAGGAAGAAGCTGTGTTATAGATTGGTCATAGACCGACAGTTACAATGACCTCCTCCCTGAGTTCCATTAACTTGCTAGAGTGGCTCACAGAACTCAGGGAAACACTCTACTTACTAGATTCCCAGTTTATCATAAAAGGATAGAAGTCGGGAACAATAAGATGCAGCGGGCAAGGCATGGGGAAGGGGCGCAGAAGGTCCCTGAGCTCTCCAGGACCGCCGCTCTCCCCAATTCTCCCCATGTTCACCAACCCGGAAGCTCTCAGAACCTCCCATCCTTTGGGGTTTTTACGGAGGCATCATGACAGAGGCGTGAGTGATGAAATCACCTGCCACGGGTCAGACTGGTTCAACCTGCAGCCCCTCTCCCTCCCTGGAAGGCTGGTGACCAGGACTGAAAGCTCCAACCCTCCAATCATGTGACTGGTTCTCCAGGCAACCAGCTCCCATCCTGGGGGGGGGGGGGGCGGTCGTCCCTAAAGTCGCCCCATTAACATAACAATAGACACCTTCAATTTGGTTCATCACTCAGGACATTCCAAGGGTTTTAGGAGCTCTGCTCCAGAAACCAGAGGACTAAGACCAAATATGGATTTATTATAAATCACAACATCCCAGTGGCCTGCCCCTAGTGTCTCTGACTAGGTGGATCCAAGATCGGCCCCCAAATGCCCCTAAGACCCCAGCGATGCTGATACTGCTGGTCCCAGGACCACACTTTGAGAACCACTGTCCAGGTCTCTGAAGTGGGAACGAATCTGCTGTGTTTGCAGAAAGGAAAGAATCCATGAATAAGCGAGTAAATGAAGGAAATTGGGCTTTGAGACAGAGGACCTGGGTCTGGTGAAGACATCCCTGTGGCCACCACCCACCTGCCGCCCTGCCCCATGGGGAGCCCCCGCCCATCTCCCTAACCACTTCCCACAACCCCTCCAGGAAGCCCTTCGTGGGGGCCCCCCTCACCTTCTTTCCAGGAATGCCAGGCTCACCCTAAGATGGAAGGCAGAGGGGTGCAAGAGAGAGGTCAGAGCCCTGAGAACATGGCCCAGACACCAGGCCACCTGCTCCTCCGGTGGAACTGGCCTTGATGACCGGGGATGGCCCGGAGATCCTGGACCCTCAGACAGGTGCACAGGGATGGTGGGGCTGACAGTCCTGGACTCCGCTCCTGACCAGGGTCCCCTCCCCCCATGCTGAATGACCCTGGACAAGTCACTGCTCTTACAAGTGGGCATGTGATGCCACAGCCTCTGGGGGGTGTTTCTGAGATGAGGGAGAAAACAAGGAAAGCCCTTCTTCTTCAGGCGGACCCCAGTCCATCCCCCGCGCCCCCCAGCAGGCAAAGAAGAAAAGGAACAGCTGATCTGTGGGGGTGGGGGAGGGGATGGGAGCCCATCCCTCCCAGGCCTGGGGCAGGGGACAGGGGAGCACTCACCTTGGGCCCTGGGAGTCCCTTCAGGCCCTGGAATAAGAGAGGAGAAAGTATTAAATGGGATACCGGTGGCTGCTTTTGGGCATCATTGTGTAAAGGGCAACGCCAAGTGCCAGATGGCAGGAGGCTGGGCCATGCTGCCCCTTCTAGGCCTGCTGGCCTAGGGCTGCTTCCGTGTCAGATCTCAAGCAGGGCAGTGGCCTGGGGGGGGCACCCTCCAAGGGATGCAGAACTGGGGGCCTGGCCCATCGGTTCCCCACTGCTGGCCGTGAGTGGGATGGGGGTTTCTGGCCCCCTGAATGAATGGGGCCCCAGGCTGCCCCAATGCCGTGGATACTGACCATCTCGCCGTCACGTCCAGCCTCTCCTTTGGGACCCTGAGGAGGCAGAAGAGGAGACCCTCTTGATGAAGGGACACAGGGACTCCATGGTTAACGGAGCCCACTCCCTGCGCTGTGCCCTGGGCTGGGGCTCCAAGCTGTCTCTTGTTTCATGAGCGGGCGTCCTTGTTCCCACTTTGCAGATGAGAACATTGAGGCTCAGGGAGCTAGGTGCCCAACGGGAATAGGAATGGATGAGCCAACTGAGTAGCTAGCTGCCCCAAGAGGGGACCCTGGTGGCAATTTGGTGGCAGTTTGCTGGCTCTGCGTGGAAGGGGAAGGACAGGCCTAAGTCCCTGCTGGCCTCCAGAGTCTGGGTAGAGCTACAGGAGGACAACTGAACCTAACTAGCTAGTACTGGAGGGAGGGAAGGAATCGGGGGGAGAGCGAGCCAGAGTGGGTGGGGGGAATAAAATCTGGGGAGGAAACACCTCCATATGGGTCTCAGGGTCAGGGTTAGGATCGAGACTGAAATTGCAACCAAGGTCAGGTTAGGGTCTCTGGTTGTATTTGGGGTTAGGGTGCAGGGTAAGAGTTGGGTTTGGAGTCAGGTCAGAGTGTAGGGGCCAGAGGTAGGGTCTGGATAATAGCCAGAAATGAGGGTGTGGACCAGGATTTGGGAATGGGTTTGGGGTCAAGGTCTTAAACGGCACTCGGTCTAAGGCTGGAGTGGGGCAGGTGTCTGAGTTGGGGTTGGGGTTAGGCAATGTGGGTCTGGGTCTGGACTGGGGACAGGGGTATTCTGCCTCCAAGCCCTCTCTTACCGCTGGGCCTTGTGCTCCCCTGGGGCCATCTTTCCCTGTGTCGCCAGGAGGGCCCCGGGCTCCAGGGGGTCCAGGGGGCCCCGGAGGCCCAGCAGCTCCATCTCGCCCTTGGTCTCCCTGGAAGAGATAGGGCCTGGCTTACTGTGAGGGTGAGGGGAGGGGCTCCAGTCTCCAGAGAGTAGCCTCTGCAGACGACTGGCCAGATGCCTTCCCTCCCCTAGCCCTTGCGGGTTTGGGGGTGGGGGCGGCTCAGAGGAAAGTGTTTGGCTCCTGGGCTTCTCAGCAGCCACAGGGACAGACAGGTCCCTGTACTTTGGCATAAAAGCTAAGGGATGTGCCATTCTCCCAGCCCTTAGTGCCTGGAGCTCAGCTCTGGTGTTCCATCGAGATGAGACATGCTGGGTACAGGAGCAGAGCATGTGGGCCCCACCAGCCCCATCCCCCAGAAAGGGGTCTGCACGCATCCTGAAGGGCCTTCCTCGTAGGCCAGCCTCCTTTATCACATGCTGGAGGTGCGCTTCTGGGACCTTACCCAGAGCGATGAAAACTCCCGCGGATGCTCACAGCTGCTCTAGGGGTAACAGCCCCAAACTAGAATCAACCCAAATGTCCTTCCGTCGGTGAACGGCTAAGGGACGGTTAAGCGACAGCCGTGTCACAGAGCACAGCTCCGCCATAATGACAAGGAACAAGGCACAGCCACGTTGCAACAGCTCTGATGGATCTCGGGGGACAACGCTGAGTGAGAAAAGCCAATCTCAGTGGCTCAGACTCTACGGCTGCAAATACACCCCAGGGTGGACATGGAAAGATCATGAAGATGGAGGAAGGATTGGTGGCTGCCAGGGGTGGGGGCAGGGATGGGGCAGGGCAGGAGGGGACTGAAAAAGCACGTGGGATCTTCCTGTGGTGGTTATCCGAGTCTACTGAGTGTGATGACGTCGCCCAGACTTTTCAACGCACCCTGATGGGCAAGATGGCTGAGCTCCCCATGAGGCAGGTGGATTCTATCAATTATCTGGTTGTGAGACTACATTGCATGGGGAGGCAAGATGTCACCATCGGGGAGCGTGGAGGACAGGTGCATGGGGTACCACCTCTTACAACTAATTGTGAATCGACAGTCATCTTGCGATACAAAGTTGGAAAAAAAAAAAAAAGGAGAGCAACAAAGGACCACAAAGTCTCAGTCATGCAGCAACCCGCCCCCAACTCAAGGACCTGATGTTAGTACGGGGTCAGACCTCAGGCAGTCAGAGCCCTCACCTCGTGGCCCCCAGCTGCAAGGAAAGGGGGGCCACGGTGCCACCGGCATTTCCTGCTGCCCCTGTGGCACGGGGCAAGGTCATGGGGCACACCTGACTCACAGTGACAACAGTCCCCAAACTTCCCGTAGCCGAGAAACGAAGAAGCCTCTTGCAGAGGTAACCCTCCTCCGACCCCGTGCACCCTGCACTGATCTCCCTGGAAGCTGGCTCCCCCAAACCCTTGCGACCACCCAGCCACGGCACTGTATCAACCCATTTTACAGGTAGAGCAGTCAGAACAGAGAGGGTAATCATTTCCCCAGGGTTGCACAGCTGGGAATGGCAGCAGCTCCTCAGGGCCACTGAGGAAAGCGATGCCTTTTGGACGCATTCTGAATCCCTGGCTCCCGTAATGTGAAGGTTCCCCTCTCTTGACAACTGGACCCCAGACACAGTTCATTGGTTTTCCCCAATTAAAAAATAGACTGAGGCTCTCATCGTCCACCACTCAGGGTCCCGACCCGGAGGCCAGGACTCCAGTCTGACATACAGCAAGCTGACAGTCGTGTTAGCTTGCCCAGGTGCAGGTGGGGACGGCAGTGGGTGATTCCTGCTCCATTTGCTGCTGTCAGGAAGAACTGGAAGACACCCTAGTCCCCGCTCCCTCCACAGCCCAGGGGCCCCACAATGGGTATCACTGGCCTGGACTCTACTTATTGGGGAGGTAAATGGGTTTCGACACGTGAGCAGGTCCCAGCAGATGTTGGTAGGCTCTGGCCTTGAGTTACTCGGGACACGAGGCTGGCCAGCTGCCTTGCCTGCGTGCTGGGATCGGGCTGGCTGAGGTCTAACCATGGAAACGCAGGGGTGAGTCAAGGGAGCACGCAAACCAGCAGGCCCGGACACGCCACTGGGCCAGGCTACCTTGAAGACGCGGCGACTGTACCCGTGATGGTCTCTACTTATAAAGCCTGGATTGAGCCGTGGAAAAACCATCTAGCCAGCAAACAGGTTGTGTGGTCAGGAAGGCAAAAAAGGTGACTTAGGAAGGGAAAAAGCTGTTTCGGGGGGGCAAAGCCACTCAACCCAGCCCAGCGACCGGGAGAGGAGGACTATGTTCTCCAAAGATGGCCGATATCCTCGTTCCCATCCCACAGGACCCTTGCAGTGCCCCCCTCCATTGCCCCACCAAGAGAGAAGGTCTGCTCCTCTTTCCCCATGTTGACTCTGGGCGGGCCCCGTGGCTGATGAGACAGACAGGATGCCATGGAAGTGAGGCGTGCCAGGCTCTTAACTGGCCTCCTGGAATGCTAGTCTTGGGACGCCCCTCTGGGAAGCCCACTGCCACGCTGGGAGAAGACTTGAAGCGCATACCTCCCCACTGGGCTCCCAGCCAACAGCTGCATCCATCAAGGCCATGGGAGGGTGCCACTGTGTTGGACTGGCTTTGATGAGAGAGATCTGCTCCCCCCCACCCCCGCCCACAACCGGGGCCGTTGTTGTTTTAAGTCATGGAACTTTCAAGAGTGGAGGCTGATTTGGAGGTGGCTGGAAACTTGGGACAACGAGAGGATACCCATGAAGGGTGGAGGGAGGGCTTTGGGAAAGATCTCTCATGACTCCCGGGCTAGGGGAGCTCATCAATTGAGGAGTGGGCACGCCCTTTCCAGAAGATCAGTGTTTGTACACCCACCAGAAAGCAAGCAAAAGGCTTTTTCTCAGTGGTCACCAAATTCAACGTGGGTACCCTGGATCTGACTTCAGCTTTTGGGGACCCCAGGTTTGCCCTCCAACCAAAGGCCCAGCACAGAAGAGCTCTGTCCTGGGGCCTCAGCCTGTCCAGCCCAGGGCTCTCGGCTCCTGCTTGCGACCCTTCTGGTCTGGTGGCACAAACTGGGCTTGGGCCTGTGGGGCCGCAGAGCTGGGACTGGGACCGGGACCAGGACCAGGACCTGGCCCACACTTAGCCCTCTAGCTGTCTCCCCTTCCCATCCCCCATCCACAGTGCCTGCCCCTCACTCCTGCTCCATCCCTGCCTCCAGTTGCTGGCTGTGGGGGTACTCGCTCACTGGCTACAATTTCCACCCCATAACCTTTTTAGGGAGCAACCCCCTCTAGTACAGATGGGCCTCCACTCCAGTTGTGGCAGGAATGGAGGGGGCATGCTCTTAGGGCCCCTGATGTGACCCTCTGCCCAGATCTGCTTTGTGGGGCCCATCCGACCTGGGCTCCCCACTCTGCTTCATTGAAGAGACCCCAGGTTTGGTAAAAGGTACTTCTGGGTCCCTTGGGCCCTGGGGGCACTGAAGGCCAGGGGATCTACTGTCCCTGGGCTGGGTGCTGGGTGCCCACCTTTATGACTGCCATGAACCTTTGCTATAGCAGCTTGGATAAGGGTCTGTCAATCCCACCCACAACAGTTGGAGAAACTGGGTCACAGAGGGGAAAGGGAGTCACTCAAGGTTACTTGGCTGGTAAGTGGCAGAGCTCAGCTGCTGACCCATAACCTTCCATCTTCCTGAGGTGCCAGCCATCCTCAAGAAGGTCAGTCTCGGGTCTGGGGGCAGTGCTAGCCCCACTGTCCCTACCCTGCCCCCCATCCACGGTAACAAATATGACTGTGAGGAAGCCCTGGGTTTTCCAGCCCATGGCCACTTAAATGAAACCCCACAGAAGGACAGATGGTGGGCAGTGGACAGAGACTGTGGGCCCATGCGGTAAGGGGCAGGGACCCAAAAGAGACGCTAGAGACACCTTATTATATGGTAACGTGAACTGTATGGGGTGGGTGAGGGGGTCTTGCGTCAGCTCTTACCCGAGGGCCAAGGTCTCCTGGTGCGCCCTAAGGACAAAGAGCAGGAAGACGGGTCACTGCTACTATTTTTACCTTATCACACGTATTAAGCATTTACTCTGTGCTCCCTGCTTTAGCCACTTAGTCTCACCCAAGTCTAACGACCATATCACGAGAGTTCTATTTCTAATCTCCATTTTCAATGAGGAAACCGAAACACAGAGAGGCTAAGTAGCCAGCCTGAAGTCACACAGCCAGCGCACACACAGGGCTTGGAACCAGGCGCTGTGTTGCCTGTGGCCAGCCCCTAGTCATGGCAGAGCAGAGATGAGCTGCTCCCCATGCCCCGCGTCCTCTTGGAATCCTGGAACCTCGCACAGCGAAGAATGGTAATTACTTGACCGTCTAAAGTCACCAAGCTCTGGGGCTGGATGTCACAAAGGGACGGGTGCCAAAATGCCAGTCTCTCTCTGGGTTCAAAGCCTCTGCTTTGTTCAACCGGAGACAGCAGGAAGGAAATCACTTCTCTGTTAGGTTGCTTTAACTGACAGATAGGGAAACTGAGGCCCACGGAGCCGGCCAACCCATCAAAAACCATGAGGTTGGTGGGGGAGCCCTAAGGCAACCCTGAGGCTCTGAGCCTGGGATCCTGTGCCCGGCACAGCTCTGAGGGTGGCCGGGGACGCTTGGCTGGCCTTACTTACCTCGGAGGGCACATCACAGCGGGCGACTGGAGTGGACGTGGCCCAGATGTGGATCCTAGAAGGGTCCTACCACATGGGCATCTGCTCTGGCCCCTCCCTGCTCTGATCCTGCCGTTGGACACATGGGTGGCCCCTCCCGCCCCCTCCCTTCCATGGCACTTGGAGGCCCCAGCCCTCCAGGGGTCTGTCGTGACATTTCGTGCCAAATGCCAGGGAAGCTTTTCTCACGGGGGGTGCTGTAAGGACCACAGGGGCAGCTCCCCACATCTGTCTGCCTTGGGGGGGGGCCCACACACTCCTCACAAAGAATACCATCTATAGTGACTGTTCAAACCCCCGCCCCCAGGCTTTCCTGGCTCCGGCCCCTCCCCCCTCTCTTCCATGATTTTTTGCTTCGGAAACTCCTCATTTTGCGAAGACCTTGCTTTGAGTTTTGTCATTCTCTGGTGTGGAGGGGACTCCAATGTCACCCCCTGGGCACTCGGGATCGTTAAATATAAGCCGTGTAACCATTAGGAGGCAGGCACTCTTAGCCCCACCTTCCAGATGGGGAAACTGAGGTTCCAGGAGGGGATGTGACCTGCCCGGGGCCACACTCCAGAGCTGGGGTTTGGAGGCAGGTTTCTGGCATCCTTCATCATATCTGCATCTAGACAGCTGCAGGCATCACTTACCTTTTCCCCTTTGGGGCCTGGAAGTCCCTGCAGAAAAAACGGTAAAGAAAAACAGGCCTGAGCGGGGAGGACTGGGCTGGGTTCCCTAAGGCTTTGAGCAGAGCCATGGGGAGCTGGGTGGGGAAACACATGTCTGTCTGCTTTTAATGACAGCTGCCCTTGCTGGGCCCAGGACAGTTCCACACCCCGCTCCTCTGCGTGAGGGGCGCCAGGGGACTTGAGGGTGGCAGGGACCTCTCAGCTGAGGTAGGAACACATGTGCTGTCACTCCCCCCACAGAGCAGAGCCCTCCAAGCTCAGCCCCTCCTGTGCCTGAAGGCTGCTGCCCCTAACTTTCCATTATCCCTTCAGTTCATAATGGGTTTGCTGGTTCATTCACCTAATGACTTGTCCACATAAGAGGTCAGTTCATTTCTCCATCCTCTGATACGGCACACATCGTCTGGCAGCTCCTCAGTCACTTACTATTTCACTCATTTCTTCACTCTCTTGTCCGCTCAATCATCATGCATTTGTCCACCTGCTAACTCAGTTAGTCTCCCATGCGTCCAACCATTGTACAATCATTGATTTATAACCTCATCTGACTATCTTTCTACCCAACCATCCTTCCTTCCTTCCGTCTACCCATCCATACACCCATTCATCAACCCATTCATCTATCTATCCATTTGTCCTTTTATCCAACCATTTATCAATCCATTTTTTTCATCCACCCATCCATCCATCCATCCATCAATCCATTCATACATCCTTCCTTGCATCCACCCACCATTCATCTGTCTGTCCTTCCATGCAACTATTCATCAATCCATTTGTCCATCCATCCATCCATCCATCTATCCATCCATCCAACCATCGTACCATCCATCTACCCAGCCATTCTTCCATCAGTCCATTCATGCACCCTTCCTTCCATCTACCCACTCCATCCATCTTTTCATCAACTCTTTCATCTATCCATCCATCCATCTGTCCTTCCATCTAGCTATTCATTATCCATTTGTTTGTCCATCTATCCAGCCAGTCAAAGATAGTCCATCTATCCATCTGTCTATCCATTTATATACATCCCACCTTCTTTCCATCCATCCATCCTACCATCCATCCTTCCATCAATCCATTCATACATCCTTCCTTCCATCTACTCACTTATGCATTTGTTCATCGACTCTTTCATCTATCCATCTGTCTGTCCTTCCATCCAGCTATTCATTATCCATTTGTTCATCCATCTACCCAGCTAGTCATCCATCCATCCATCCATCCTCACTCCCTTCCATACATCTATCCCTCCATCCATCAATCCATCCATCTGTCCATCCACCCATACATCCACCCACCCACCTGCCTATCCATCCACATCCAATAATTTATTTAATTATGCTGTCTCCCTGAGCAGCGTGTTCATTCTGCTGAAGATGCCTGTGGACCATAGGCTCCTGGCCCAGGTGTTGAGAACTCATCAGCCCAATGTCTACCATTGGGAAGTCTTGAGACTGGGGGGTGGGGGGAATGCTCTGTGCCTGGGGCTTGCTAGGAGGGGCTTGTATGTTTTGAAGGCTGACTCGATGTCAAAGTGCAATTTACACTTCTCCACATCCCCAGCCTGTAGGGCTGGTTCAAGTGAGGAGGGTCAATGGACCCATTTGACAGAGCCTCAGGCTTGTGAGGTGAAGGGCCTCCCCAAGTGTGCACAGTCAGCCGGTAGTGGAGCTGGATTTGAACTCCAGTCTGATGCCCAAATGACTTCTCTCTGTGCTGAGCCAGGTTCCCGGTGGCCCCTTCCCTCTGGCACCCTCCCCCCATCACTTCCAGCCCCACAAGTGGCCCAGTCCCAGGACCACCTAGAATTTCCCTGTAATCACTTACGGGCTTGCCATCCAGACCCAGCGGCCCCTGGAAATGAGAGAGACAGAGAGAGAGGTTACACACCAGATAGGCATTTCCTGTGTGTTTTATGACCCAGAAGCACTACTGGGTATCAAAGACCAAAACCTGACGTGAGCCCATGGTCTGAGTACATTTCATGTGAGGGCATCTGGGTGTTTGCTGTCCAGAATCCCCTCCTCCAATGACAGAGCCCTTCTTCTTGTCCAGGACCACCCCCATCTGCACATATGGGGCTTGGGAGTACGGTCACATTCCCTCAACCAGGGTGAGGGGTTCAGGGATGAGTGTCATGTCTGGGACTTTGGATGGTGACCCTGTAGGGGAAGGAGGGCTCTTTTCTCTGATGGGACTAAGGTGGAGCTCCTGGGGGCACCATGTGGCTTGAGGAAGAGCCAACAGAGAGGAAGCCAGAGCAGAGAGACAGAGAGCAGAAAAGGTCTGCTGCTGAAACCCCCCACCCCTGCACACTTTGTTTGTCCGCAGCTTTTCTTTAATCCAGTTCGAACTGAGTTCACTCACACGTAAGTCAGCAGGGACTGAACACAAAATGCATGTGTTGAAACTTAACCCCTGGTGTGATGGCGTTAGGAGGGGGGGACTTTTGGGAGCCTCGTGAATGGGGCGTCAGCCTATTTAGAAGAGAGGTTCCAGAGAGCTGCTGGCCTCTGGGTCCACCATGTGAGCACACAGGGAGGAGGCAGCCGCCTGCAGCCCGGAAGAGGGCCTCCCACCAGAACCCCGACAGCACCGGCATCCTGACCTCACACCTCCAGCCTCCGAGACTGCGAGAAGTCGATTTCTGTTGTTTCTAGACCACCCAGTCCGTGGCCCTTTGTTAGAGCAGCCCAAACAGGCTAAGACAGGCCTGAGGAGTCCTCAAGGCTCTTTTAATTCCCTGCACTGCTGTGGCCTTAGCAGGCCAAAGTCAAGGTCAAGGGAAACCAAATCTCCCAAGGCTGGGTCCCAAGGGCTGGCACATCGCAGAGGCTCTGGGGGCTCCGTGGTGTCTGCAGGGGGTCAGGGACGGCTGCCAAGCAGCCCCCACGGGCGCCCTCTGCCTGTCCAGCTGCTGCCCCCTCAGAAAGCCCCGCTGAGCTCCCCCACCAGGTGGAAGCAGACAAGAATCCGAGGGCAGTGCCACCAACTGGGTCTGACCAGTCTCTGTCGACCCCTGTCCTCCACCCTGCGCGGCCTCCTCGTCCCACAGACGCTACAGATGTTCCAGGCAGCTCCACTCTCCTGAGCCTGCACATGCACCGCCTGCCCGCCGGGCACACCCCTCACCCCCTTGCGTGCCATCTTTTGTTCAGTCACCTCCTCCTTCACGATGCCCTTGGGGCTCCTTCACTTCTCAGAAGTCAGGCCATCTGTCCCTGCACCCGGCCCGTTTTCTAAGGGTCGCACATTACACCGTGCATCGTCACCGTGTGGTCTACACACGTCTACCAGCGGATCCAGGAAAAAGGTCTGATCCCCGTGTCACCAGTGCTCGGATGAGGCCTGGCACAGAGCACGTGCCTCTCAGCGTGTGTTGAGTCAAAGCAAGGAAAGGTAGTGAGAAAGATGAAGCGTGAGTAGATACGTACAGTAAAAGGTGGAAAGTCCGGGGCAGGACAGACCAAGGGTTCTGGCAGTTCCGAGCAGGGGGCAGCCTGCCAGGCTCTGGGGGGTATTGGGAAAGATTAGGAGTTCTGGCCTGAGAAAGTAACAATTGGGGCTTTAGGGAGGGCACCGTGGGCAGAAAGCACAGCCCAGAGGCACAGGGCCTGTGAGCAGCAGACAGGAGCTCCGTCTCAGCATCAGCCTCCCTCCCATCCTGGTCTCTCTCACGTGTCCCTGCCCTGCGGAGGCTGCACTCCCGTGCCCAGCACTGGTGTCCTCATGGCCCAGCCCAGCCTCTGCCTTGGGGCTGTCCTGTGTCCCTGGTCTTCCCAAGCTCTCTGCTTCTTCCCCATATTCATGCCTTCGCGTGAGCTGTTCCCTCTGCTTTCAAGGCCCTGCCCTGGCTCCTCTACCTGGGAGACACTCTCTGGCTCCTGGAAGCCAGTCTCTCCTCCCTCAGGTCTGCACACGGCCTGGGGCCCAACAGCGAACAGTCAGTTTCCGTGGCTGCACAGTCAGACCTCCCTGAACTGGGCCAGCTACGCCGCCCCCAGATGCCCTAAGAGGGGCTTTTCCTCACACCAGGGCCTTGCTCCAGGCAGGAAGCCAGGGCAGTTCTGAAAATTTGTCCCTTAAGTGGCCCTGGCCACCAGCCTCAAGGTCGGCTGAGGGTCTGGACTTCGAGGCTGTGTCCTGGGGGCAGAAGGAATCCCAGGAGATGGGGTGGGGTCTAGGATCCGAGGGCTCCTGGTCAGGAGGGTTCCCAGGCTGAGGCTCACCAGGGACTGCCCTCGCTGGCCCACCTCCTGCTGGCTCCCAGCTGGCTTGACCCCTGGATCCATGGGCCTGAGACCTCCCCTCTTAGTCTGCTAAAATTGGACCCCGCTCCTCCTCTACTCCCCATGCTCAGGCGCTGCTAGGCCTCACCCAGGCCCAGAACACACAAGGGGCCCAGTCCCACCCTGAGTCTCACCTGGGGGGTCCTCGTGGCCCCCATACTAAGTCTGAATCACCACAGCAAGCCTGTAAGGCAGGTGTTACCATCCCTGTCTTCCAGGAGGGAACTGAGGCCCAGAGAGGGAAAGGTCTCGCCCCAGGTGACCCAGCCAGAACAGGCCAGGGCTGGAGTCCAGAAAGGCACTTCCACTCTCTGTCCTCCAGGCACCGATATCCCCCAGCCATGCTCCCTCATCTGCCCAAATCCCTCATGCAGGCAGAGATGAAAAAAGAGAGGAAGCTTAGAGCTAAGTTAATCTCCTTCCTCTTCCCGTGCCATGCCGTGCTGGGAGGGAGGACACAGTGGGCCTCACAGCTAAGTCACTGGCAGCAAGGGGCCCCTCACAGGCCCTGGGACCCAGTGCAGGGCTGGTCTGAGGGAGGCGGGCACCCCTCTCCTTGGGGCCGCCGAGGAGGAGACTGTCCGGGGCCACACCCTTCCCGGCCTCCACCCTCACTGCCGCCCTGGGAAGCAGGCCCCACAGCCCCATCCTGCAGATGAAGAAGCTGAGGCATCGGGACTGTCCAAGGGCTGAAACAGGCCCTCCTCTCCTGGCAGTTCTCCCTCTCCCACAGCACAGGGCAGCACCCTTGACAGGTGGCCCCTAGGTCCCAGGGAACCTATGACGGAGGCTAGCAGGCCTTGCCTTCCTTCTGGGATTCCTGGCATGTCTGTCTCCCCAACTGAACATCCCCTCTTTGGGCAGAGCTCTCTGGGCCCTCTGTCACCCTAGGGCTCTACCAGAGAGAGTGCTGAGTCAGACAGATGTGCTTGCTGTGTGACCCCAGGAGAGCCAATCAACCTCTCTGAGCCTCAGCATCCTCATTACCTGTTCTCCCCAGCAGGGCTGTTCCTGCCCTGGGTTTGCCCCAGCTTTCCCCTAAACTCTGCCACAGCGTGGCCTCCTGGCAGCCCCTGGGATTTGGAGAGAGCTGCTCCAGAGGTCTCAGGGGGCATATCTGGGGCCTCTGGAGGCCCACGGACTTCCACCCACCACGCTGTTTCCTGGCCCCAAGCTGTGCTTTCCCAGTTCCTCCACTGCAGACAGTCCTGCTTCCACCTGGAGAACTCCTACTCGTTCCTCAAAGCCCAGCTCAAATGGCCCTTCTGGGAGCCTCCAGGAGGAGTAGCAACATCCCCTGAGGCTGTCTACCACAGAGCTGGGTCCCCATCCTGGAAGAGAGCCCTGGGGCTGAGCTCCAGGAGACATGCCAGGTGGTCAGAGGAGAATGGCTCTGGATTCAGACACACCTGAGACCAAATCCAGCCTTGCCCACATGCCAGCTGGTGACCTGGACCTCCTCACTTGTGACAAGGACATGCAGGCCTCCCTGTGTCACTGGCCTGTGTGTGTGTGTGTGTGTATGCGCACGCACGTGCTATGTGCACTCAGTAGAACGCATGAACCGTGCAGAAGGAGACAGAACAAAGCAAACCTCCTTCACCCCTCCCCAGCTCCTTTCCCAGGGGGCGGCACAGGCACCACTGTCTGCATGACCACTCCCCACCTCCCCCCACCCAGGAAGCAGTCTGTGTCTGGAGAAGCACATATGTGGAGCCCCTGCCTTTCTTATTTTTAAAGCCCTCTACGGGCTGCAGAGTGAACATCTGTGGGTCCATCTGGCTTCAGGATGCCAGGGACTCTGGTCCCTGGCCCCACAAGGCATGTCCTAGCCTCCTTGCCACATTCCAGGAAAGGCTTACGACACACGCTGAGACCTGAGCATCATCCCTGTGGCCCTTCCCTAATACCTGTAGTCTCTCCCATGCAATTCCCTGGAGAACTTTCTAGAATGTAGATCTGCTCTCCTGTTGCAGCCCCTCTGGGGCAGCCTCACTCCTGCAGGATGATGTCCCAACCTCCTGGTCTGGTGCCCAAAGCCCGCCTGTCCCTTGCTGGGCACAGAGCATGTGTCCTGGTTCGGCCCTTCCTGGGGCTGGGCCTGTCTCTGGTCCATCAATGCTGGGTCCCCAGGCCCCATTCCAGGATGTCTACTGTGTGGACAGAGAGCACCCAGTGCTGTGGGTACCCTGTTTTTCTAGAAGCGTCTGGGCAGGAGGGAGCCTGAGATGTTCCTTTGGCTTGGACCCCATAGGAGGAATGGATCTGCAGGTCAAGTAAGTTTGAAAAACACCAGGGAACACACTGTGAAGTAGGTTTCTTTCCTGCAGCTTGTCTTGTCTAAACCCTCGTCCTGCTTGTGGCTGTTCAGGAGGGCAACGTTCCCAGCCTCACCAGGAGGCTGTGTGGACCATCTATGAACCAGACGTTTCCATGGGCTGGAAGGATGCCTGAGCCAGGCTCTGGAAGTCCTCAGAGGAGCAGAAATGCTCGAGGGGAGGGCCAGGAGCTGGTCTGAAGGGAGTCAAGGACAAACACGGGGTGGAAGGCACGGTCAGCCTGGAC